TGACACCAAGCTTATCTATGCTTCAGAGAGTGAAGCTACCTTTAGCAGACAGCTCAGATCATAGTGTCAGCTATGATTCACACTGCAGAATTTCCCAGGTAGTGATACTGTTTCATTGATGATTTCATGCAGCCTAGCAGATAATTTGAGGCCAGTATTTATTCAGTGATTTCCCTTAAGCCTGTGTTTTCCAAATGTTCATTAGTTATAAAAAATGATGCAGTCAGTATTTTGAGCCTGCTTTTAGCTGAGAAGAGTGATTCCAAATAAACACTGCAAATGCTACATACACATGTTAATATTTAATGTGGCTTTGGTCCCATGCATTTCTGGTGAGCCATTTTGATGTATATAGTTATTGTACCATGTATTTAGAAATGGATCTTCTCCAAGCAATCATTCACATAAGCTCAAAATAAATATTTGCCTTTGTATCAGGATGCCATTATGTTACTACTAAACTAGGCTTGGTGGAAGGTTCACAGAGGGTTGACTGAGCTTTGTCAACTCTGCTTTATTAGGACTTTTCCATGCCGGAGAATTCCTGGGTGTGGCTGATGTGATTTCCTGCCTTTTTGTCCCATGAAGGTAGTACTAAGAGTCCAAGTGCAAGGAAATGGTTCCTGCTTCAGTCTCATTTAAGATTTTTCAGTAGGGTAAGAGATGTGTCCAAGCCGAGATTTGCTTGGCGGGTTTTGTTTGGAAACTGCTGTTTTGACACAGCATGTCTCAGAATTTGTGGATGAGCAGGGAAGACACAAGGAATGTGTCACCCTTTTCCTTCAGGGGAGAGGGTCCTTGACATTGTAATTCTTTTCTGTGGATCACATAAATCTACATTAACTATGTTCTCACCTTATTAAAAAAAATAAAATAAAAAAAATCCTTATGTATATGAGATGTTTGAGTTTCAGATCTCTCTAGACACTTTTTATTTCAGCAGAGAACTTGTACTGGAACATGTTCTTAGATCTAGCTCCTGCATGCACAGTAAGTTTGTTTACTGTTAATTATCCAGAAAATACTGTGCTTAGAGTTATAACTGAAGGGAGGTTTCTTGACCTACTGTGATTCTTGCAGGCTGCGTAGAAAGAAATAAGGTTCTAGCAGAATAAATTAGATGTGAGAGACCAAACTGTAAATGCAAAAATGGGATTAAAAAATTTTGTGAAATTATAATATAGGAATTTAATTTAGATTATTTTGTTTGTTTGTTTCTTAAATCCTTGAAGGCTCAGTTGTAGTTGGATTGATTTTGTTTTCCAAGAAAAACAGTATGGGGAATTATTGAAATACAACAGCTGTTTTCCTGGGGAATTTTAGAGCCCCGTAAATGACAAAGCCTGTCCTTGGGGAATTTCCAGCATTTAGAGCTGAGCAGGTTACATAGCTCTGGTCTACGTATCTACATTTTTGGATGCTTTGTCAATCTTTTTATAACAAACCATTTTACAACATCTGATAATGCCTCAGCCCATACAAAACTCAATCAGTATTGAGATCTTCCAGGTGACATTAAGAATTAGGAAATGTTACAGTTGAGCAATTCCTGTATTTCTCCGTTAACAGAGTAAGAGAAGGATGGATAACAGTATTGTTATGCTTTTATGTCCCCTAGTTTTGTTCTTGGCTGCCTGCATTGTACAGCAAGCCCAAGGCTCCTTTCTCCTAAACTGCCTGCAGTGCATTCTGGCTGCAGCCCCTCCATTGCCCCATACTCCCTGCTATACCTGGTTTTCACAGGCACATCTTGTTAGGGGAGCAACAGACATTTTATGATCATTTTCTGCCCATGTTCTATTCCTTACACTGAAAGAACAGCTAGAGAAACACTATAAATCAAAGGGCCAGGTTACTCTGGAGAATTTGGGCTATTTTCTTTCACATAGACATTCAGTATAATGCATCTTTTCAATTTGTGATTCATTTTCTCTGCCCATTTGTCACATGGCCAACAACAGGACAAAGCTGCATGCCCCTTCAGTGCATACAGAAGGCAGTTTGGGGCCTGGGAAGGGTTCTTGCTACATTGCACACTTTAAATCCATTAACAACACATCTGGCCTAACCTGCTGGGGTACAGTAATGGATGTCCATGGCCAAGATGCTGCAGAGTTTCCCCCATAAGAAGTGAAGACTTTTTTTTTTTTTTCCCCAGCAGGAACCCTTACTTGTATTATTTCTATTATTTTATTACAGTTATTGTTCCCAGTCTTGATGCACAGACATGGCCTGTCTATGGAGGAAACAGATTTCAGTCTTCTTGATCAAGAGCAGAGGAAGTGCTTCCCATGGCCCAGTGCCACGGTCTGATGTTTGCATTTCTTCTATTGCATGAATGACATAGGGCTTTGCGCTCCCTACTCAAACGGGGCTCCCATGACACAGCTACCTCCAACTGGGGGAAATGCTAATTTTCTGCAAAGGCCTGCAGTGGGTAAATGGGGGATATGGAAACAAAGGCAAAGCAAAGGGAAGTGACTCACCTGAGGGCTATCAGCTACGAATACGCAAAGGCCAGTGGTAGTCATGAGGGGCCAGTGACACAGCCATGCTGTGACATAGCTTATCCCATGTCACAGGATCCTACAGGCCTGCAGGACAAGCAACCTTAATGGCCATAAGGTTCAAAAGAAGGGCCTTCGTCTTTCAGATAAAAACATCCCTACAAATTCAGACATCCCTGTACAATGCCTTTATGCCTCACTGGTAGCATGTTGAGGGCTTAACTTGGACTTTCATTATTTATATACTTTTGGTGCTCTGCACAGAAATGACTTTATCCCTTGGACAAAGCACTTATTTCCCTCATGACCGTCAGCACCCAGCATAAACCATCTCTGCCCAAATGAAGGCCCGAGCCAAGAGAGACTTTATCTGTGCACAGATACAGATTTGACATTTTTTCCAGCTATGCTCAGGTCACTAATTAAAAGGCTAGGAAGTGAGCACACATGAAATCATTCCTTCCGTACAGGCAGACAGATGGAGAGAAATTCCAGCCAGTTTCCACTCTTTTGTCTTGGGGGCATTTTTGGAATTTCCTTCAGGAAGTGAGGTTATGACCCAGACCCTTCCTCAGTGAGCAGGCTCTCGTTTCCCACAGTAAACTTTGCACGGCGATGACATACAGTAAAAGAAGTGAGGTTTATCTTCACACTCCAACTGCATCCTGAATGAGCTCCATGGAACTTAAAAGTAATGCTGAGAAGGAATGGCAGCATGAGAGGAAATGGAAGTCAAGCCTTTGGAAGAAGCAACGCAGTACCTATTCAAATACACTGCCACGGGTTGGTGGACCCAATGGAGCTGCAGCAGTGGAAGAGCTGAGGCTGTCATTCTATGCTCCATAACCTTCCTTGATGTCTGCAATAAGCTAGAAATAAAACTTATGGATTATATCAGTAATATAAAGTTAATTATTTCACTTACTCTACTCTAGGCAGTCAGAGTAAAATGGACAGGTATCTGTTTTTATTTTGGTTTGTACTTCATGAGCTGCTGGGAGGAGAATTCCAACTGTAGAGATTCTTTTAATGGTGTTTTGTCAACACAGTCTGTGCTGATGAAAAAATATATTATAGTGTTCATTTTGTATTTTATACGATCCTGTAAGTTGCATTATGCAGCTCATGTCCCCACAGAATTGGCTTAATCCTCGCATGTACTAAAATAAAGGAATTCTTTCACTGACTTCTGTCAACAAGAAACCAAACCTGGCATGAAGCCCCCACAACAGTATAAAAGTAATACTAATCTGATAACAGAATATTTAAAAAAAATCAGTTTATTAATGTTTAGAAGTCAATAAAGCTATGTGCAAATTGAACAATAAAAGTCAGAAACATTTTAAATACTATTTTTTAAACCAGAAAAAATCCCAACAGTTTAATTGCACTGGAAATTTTACTACAAAGGCAATTTTTTTTTTTTACAAAATACCACTTCTAGGAATTGCCAATAACTGTACATCAGTCAAATGCTCTCAGCTATCCCAAATATACCTTTTTTTGTTATAGTAATACTCTAGGCATATGAAGACTCCTGCATGTTATTAACTTATTTACATCAGACACATTCAACCCCATTAACACAAGTTAGAAAAATAGAGAAGTAAAAATGATGCTGTGAAACAAATACATTCAATTTAATAGCAGGTACTTCTTTCAGGAACTGATAAAATACAGACATCTTCACTGAAATTATAAACATTAATTACATGTGCCAAAATGTATTGCATCTTGTTATGGAAGTGCATTTATCTATAGTAATTTCACCTCAACTTTCCTTAGATTCTTCTGAAAATCAAGGTACTCTTTTCAGATTTTCCAGCTGATCTTTACATTTACAAAGACTATGAACCTGGCACTGAAATGCCCCTTCAGTTTTTAACTCTTCTTAAGCAAAAATCCTGTTGTCAATAGTATCTTATACTATTAGTTTTACCTTCAGTCATTTTAAAGATAAATGACCTTTAGTTCTACTTTGCATCTGCCATGATAATACAGTTATTTAATACTATAGAATAACAAGGCAATCAACATAGGGGGCAAAATGCCGCTCTGAGCTATTCCAAAAAATCTGAAGCAGTCAATGGAATCCTACAGGTGAAAGTAACGGCAGAGTCTGGCTCGTGGTCTTCAAATGTAGTATGGACCAACAGCAAAAATTCACAGCTATGATCTTTGTAAATAAAACCCCAACAGCTTTGGACTCTGCAAATAAAACCTGACTTAACTAAAAACTCCAGAAAGCGATACCAAATTACGGTTGTACTTGGTCTAAGTTATATTTGTGTGATATGTGCTAAACAAACACTTCTGACCAACTATACCAGAGCCACCACTAAACTCAGTACAGATAGATCTTTGTGTCAGTGGTTTGCTGCAAGAAGAAATAACTTCACATTCTTCTCACAGGGGAAAAAAAATTTAAAAAGATTCATTCTCCCTCTCCCTCCTCCCCCCGTCTCTTTCTCTCACACACACCAGGCATCATTTCACCAAGGCATCAGTCTTTCAGAGTTACTAAGGAGATTTCAGGATATGAATGAGCCTGACAATCCTGAGCTGCCTCAGTGCAAAGACAAAACATGCTCCAGGGAAAAAGATTTTCAAGCCAGAACAGTCTGTCCCATTTCTTGAACTCCAGCCTCGCAAGTGCACCGTTTGCCTCATTAGAACTAATGCTACTTGCTCACTTAGCCCAACACTGCCGCTGTGAGCAGGAGGCACCTCAGCTCCCCAGTTTCAGAGGAAGGCTCTGAAATACACCCCCAGGGTTACTCCTAAGAAGATGAGGTAACATTGCCTGAAGACATGATGGTTTCAGGATGGTCGCCTTCCTCCTTCTGTGGGTGGGAGGAGTTGTCAGATTTACTCCGGCTGAACTCCATCCCTCCAATGATTGGCCTCTTGAATTTGGTCCCAGAATCTGCCGGGGGACACTTGCAGCAGCACAGAATCTTGATGAAAGCCCTCCGCATCTCTTTGTTTGTCAAGGTGTAGATGATAGGGTTTGTGGCTGAATTGAGCACTGCCAGTACTAAGAAATACTCTGCTTTATAGAGGATTGGGCAGGTCTTCACTCTACACCCCACATCCAGTAAAAGCAGGATGAACAAGGGAGCCCAGCAGGCGATGAAGGCACTCAGGACTATGATCACTGTCTTGAGCAAGGCTAGAGACTTTTCTGAGCTCCTAGTAGCTTTGGTAACGTTCTTCCGAAATGTCAGCCTGCGACTCCTAGTCCTTACCATGGAATAGATCCTGCAATACAGGACAACAATAGATAGCAAAAGGCCTGTGAAAACAGTGGTGCAAAAGAGAATATAGTGCTTGTGGTAGAGAGGCAGCACAGTGGAGCAGCTGGTCAATAGGCCGATGCAGTTCCAACCCATGATTGGGAGTCCCCCAAGTATCACAGAGATAACCCAGCAAGCACTGATCAGCAAGAAGGAGCGGAAGCTGTTGCTGCCATTGTGGAGTTTCATCTTCAACATAGTGATGTATCTCTCAATGGCAATGGCCAACAAACTGAACACAGAAGCTGACAAGGCAACAAACATGCTGCCTTCTCTTACAAACCACTGGGAGGGGGCGAGGCTATAGGTTTTGTGTCCAGATAGCAGGAGGTTGGCAGTGTAAGCCACACCAGCCAGCAAGTCTGAAAGAGCCAAGTTCCCAATGAAATAGTACATTGGTCTGTGAAACTTCTTGGTTTTCCAGATGGTGAGCAAGACAAAAATGTTCTCTAAGATTATAAAGCAGCAAATGATGATAAAAACCACCGACGTCACTTTTATTCCACTGTCCGCATTCTCATTTAGCTTTCCCGTGTAATTATAATGCTCTTTGATGACATAGTTGACATCAGTGTTGGCAAGGTTGCTGACGACCTTCAGCGGGGCAGTGGTGCTGGAGCTCATGGTGCCTGGCTGGGCGCCCCTTCCCCAGCGGCCGCCGGACAGGGACACGGAGCCCAAACCAAGCGGCAGCTCCGCAGCTCCTTGGCCACGCAGCCTCCCGGCACCGCTGCGCCGCCTCAGAAACCGCAGCCCTGAGAGCAAGAGGCACAAAGCCCAGCGTTAAAAGAAGGAAGGCAAACAATGTAACAAACGATAAGTGTAAGATTGTCTGCTAGTTTAATTGTACATGACAGTCGCAGAAATAATCACATAGGAATCAGTTTCATTTGGCTGATAAAGCACCTAAAAGATGGTTAGGTCAATTAAATTGGTACAGCTAATAAAACTAAAAAAAGAAGTTCTGTCATGCAAAGCTGAACAGGTAAATTGTAGTTGGCAAGGGCTGCATTACTGGACTTCTTCCAGCATGAAAGATCTCAAAGCTCCCCAGCAGTAAGTTCTAGTGTGTTTTTTTCTCCAGTAGGAAACACACCTCATGATACAACAGCAGAGATTTAAAAAGGGAAAGGGCTTGGTTTGATTTAACTATGAAGACATCAAACTTATATTCTTCTCCACAAACAGTCTGAGTATGCTTTGGAAGGGGTGAGTTATGCAATTCACTGATGCCATCTCGAACAGTGGTCAATTCACTGATGTATATATGAGCAAGAGATCATCTTAAAGCTGTAAACAGGAAAGGGGTGCCCTTGCTAAATAAAAGCAAGAGCATGCCTTACAAAACCCGGAGCAGTAAAAAGTTTAGAAAATCCAGGAAAAAAAATATGTAAATGAGCTAGTTAGCAAGCCCATCCCGTGAGTCTGAAACAAAGAATGGCAAAAAAGTACCTTGCATTTGAATAATTAGCATTGCAAGCTTTTGAAACGGGCATGATTAAGGAATACAGATAGAATGGAAACTCCCTTTACATACACACATTTTCTAGTGAACATTTAAAGAGAATTGAAGACGTGAAATCACTCAAGGAAAGAAGAGGCACAATTGTTGAACTACAGTCTAAGCAGGGCAAAGCAGGAGGTGCGAGGCCAGTGGCCACGGCTCTCAGCTCTGCTCCCGGGCTCAAACCCGCACCGCTCCTGTCCCGCACCTCGCACCGCTCCCGCACCGCCCCTGTCCCGCACCGTCTCCGCCAAAGCAGCACTCAGCCGGGCACGGCGGGTCCCGGACAGCCCGCTCGCCTCTTTTGTTTAGAGGACTCCGGGGGCCGAGACAAGAGCCGCGCGGCTGGAACTTCGCGGCGGCCCCAGGCTGCGCGGGGGCGGCTCCGCGGTGCGGTGCGCGGGGTGCGGTGCGCGGGGTGCGGTGCGCGGCACCCGACCCTTACCTCGCTCAAGCGCGGCGCGAAGCCCACATCGGCCCTGCGCATCTTGCGTGCCTGCGGAGCAACTCCAGCGGCCAGGCCGGGGACTCCGTGGTTTTACTCTTTCTGCAGCTGGCGCTCCCCACCCC